GGCACAACTTTAAGCAATTCCAGTTTCAACTATGTTTGCGATAAAACTGCCAGCGCTACAAATACAACTGGGTATTAAATTTAAATAATAAAACGAACATTAATGTAACATTTTAAGACCTTTATTTACACTATCTCTTTTTTCATTTTAATTTTGTCATTTGAATTAATAAAAATAGTGGAAAATTTTACCAAAATTCACAGTCAAGTGAGCACCTAAATTAAATACATGTACGAGTATAAACCTTTGTATGTATTTAATTTGATGATTATATTTTTCAATTTAATCCAACCCATAGATGTTAACGAACCAAGCAATAAGTACTATATTGCATGTCGCAGTTCAGAGACCGCAGGTAACACAACAGGCTGATCTAAACGTAATTTCCGGAATGAATACAATAGTCTAACCCATAACCTTCGTGAAATGTATCCGAATGCTTTGTTTATAAATACTCGATGTTAATATTACGCTGTTGGTTTTCTTATACAATAAAAAAACGAAAGTACTATTAAGACATATATATGATGTTTGGCATTATAATTTAGTTATTATTCCTCTAAATAGTGTAAACATAATGTAAGTCAACGATATCTACATCTCATTGATTGGCAAATCTATTATAATAATTCAACAGTTCTTGATTAAAGTTAATAAATACTACCTGTCCCCCGCGACTCCGTCCGCGCGGAATTTAAAAAACTAAATGAGTATCCTATGTGTTCTTCCAAACTAAGTTTACGTCTATGCTAAATTTCATCAATATATGTTAAGCCGTTTCGGAGATATCTTCAAACAATCATTCATCCATCCAAACATCATCATTAACCTGCCCTTATCCCTATCGAGTGTCGGCACAGTATGTACTACTCCTTCATACATCTCTATCAGCCGTCATATCCGAGTCTACCCCCTTCCTACGCATATCCTATTTCACAGAGTCATTCCATACTTTTTTCGGTCTTCCTCTACCTTTGTAGCCATCCACACATTCGCAATTAAAATATTAGTAAGAAGTAAGATGTCTAAGGAATATATGTAATTCATTATTTGATTTTGAGGTTAAATTCCTAGTAACATTATTAATATGAATTATTATAATTCAGTCTTTGTATCAAAGGAGCTTAACTGCTTACATCAAATAGTCGCTACCAATTACGTTGCAATTAATTTCTACAGATTAATTGGAACCTTTGAATGAAATACTCGAGATCCGGACTCAGGCAGCGGTAATTTCGTGCCTTTGTAATTATAAGCATTTCATAATTATGTATTAATACATTCGCGCAGTATTTTTATCAAGGAAACAATTTTAAAAACTACTTTTATCATAATTATGTTCTTTGAATATATATTTTATACTGTTTACACTGCTTTAAAGAAAATATTGTGCAGAAGTCTGCATACTGTTCTAAAAATTCTCTAATTCCTAAGAAATAGATGGTTACAAATCTGATTATTTTTATTTGGTACATCATTTCGTTTGTTCCTTTAAGAGCACATTATGTGACAATTTATAAAATAATGGTTAAAGTATTGTTGGTAATATAAATAAAAAAAAAAAAAACTGTTGGCTTCGTAAATACGTTTTTTAAATAAATGAAAATTTCTAGGTTATGTTACAATAGTAATCCTGTAGAGCATTTGTTCGTGATTTTATGTAGGCAATGAGTTTGACTACTTAAAATCACGAACATATTTTATGTTTTAATTTATATTTGCATATTTACTATAATTAAACGATATAATACAACTCTATCATAATATCTACTCTATAAAAATTCTTAAATCTACTAACATTAAGATTAATTTAACTTTTATTATTTAAATGTTTCATTTTTAATTTTTGGAACAATTGTCTACGGCTACATAACTAAATATACAACAACTTATTATAATCGATAAATATTTTGTAAAATTAAATTTATATCTTTTTAAACTTGATGGACCTCAAAATTTATATACTAAATAAAAACCTAATTTAGTAATAAAATTAGTTATAATTTTAACACTAATAAATAAAGGATTGTTAATGACTAAAATCTTTGAAAATATTTTTGAATTGAGAATGCTTAAGTGCTAAGTTAACCCAGTCTATTAGTTTCTAAGTTAGTAAATGCGTTGCGCAAATTATTTCCTCGATATATTATGGATTAATATTTTTATCTTACATGGATCGCGCATAGTGTTGTTGTTTGTTAAAGTTAGTTTTTATCGCAATGAGCTTTAAATATATTTTGTTGACAGAGTGGTATGAAGAATGGGATTACATAAATACATGCATTTGGGTGAGTAATCGTTCATATTTAGTCAAAATGAACATTCCAAAAATTTTTAAAATTTTCTCATCTATCAATTTGATACTTAACGTTAATATATTTTGCAATTCCTATAATTTTAGGGGTTTAATATCAAATATAACTTAGTGATTTTTTATATTTTATTATATATATTACCAAACTACCGATAATTAACTGCTTCGTTACAAATTCTTACTAAAGACAAAATATTGTTATTCCAAAAATTGCTTCTAAACTTATTTCAATTTGTTTATATCTTACTTATATTATAAATGCTATCTTATAATATAAGCTGTAGCATTAGCATTGCATATAATCGTTCGTGTATACTGACTTTTAGATTTATTAAACAATAATTTTTATATTGATTCTTATTAACAATATTCAGGACTACGTTTATTTGCGGTATCATTCGTTGCATAATTATAATATAGATTTATTTAAAAATATTATAAAGTGTTAATTTAAAAATAACTGTGTAACGTAATGTGTAAGCTGATGATATCCTTTTGGAAGTTTAATAATTATTATAAACGAATTTTATGTAAAGGCTACATAGATGTAGATACATACAATGTATAAGCATAATTTCACATTTTCTTAATACACTCTAATATGTAAATCGTTTCGTATTTGGATTAATAATAATTATAATTACGCGTGCCCTCTAGTCTACAAAATAGGTAACATAAAGTCAGTTTCGTTTCATTATCAAAAATACATATAGATGGCGCTGTTCTTAAAATCAATTTCATTTTGTATATCATGTTCATGAGATAAAAGATTGGGGTTGTTAAATCATAGTTTACTTTGTGAACACAACGAATTTATTTAATTTTAGGTGTTTTCTTTTTACTTGTCATTAAAAATTTTAAAACTATCTAGATAAATTGGTAAATAATTAGATTCCTTGATAACGTAAATTTGTATGAGACATAAATACAAAAAGTATTTTCGTTTTGCAAGACAGAATAGTAAATACAGATACAGACGCAAACTTAAAGAAGCCGAGTCGAACCGTACTTCGAGTGCTTGGGATGACGCTAGGTCGGAGCCGGGGGCCCGGGAACGATTCATTGATCCGAACCTTCTCGGAAAATAGACAGAGATATACAAAGAAGGACCTTGCCTACCTCTTTGTCGCTCCCCGTTCAACAAATTTTATTCTTTCACTATTCTCGATTACTATACGGGAGTCCCAATTTATATTTATATACCTACAGAATGAGTAAATAAAAATATGCAATGAAATAAGTTACTAACATATCCGTTCGATAAAATACCTGTATTATGCTTATCATGTATTAATACAATAGTTTATAAATTATTGTTTTTAAATAAATTACATATTTATTTTAAGTCCACTCTGTGCAACCTTATAATGTTACTTGTGATATTAATAAATGAACACCATTGTTGGTTTTGTTAGTTAAAAGTAATAACAAATTCAAACAATTCCTTAAACTTAGTAAAAGTTAGTGCGTTGAGAGCTAAACTGCTTCCCTTGATCCCTTGATGGTACTCGCGCAGCTGGTTGGTTGAAGCACGCAATAGAGATATAGGTTTTCTCTTTTTAAATGACGAAGTCTGTCGGCAATGTGTTCCGTCTCTGTCGCGCTTCAAGCGGCACCGCCGGATCCGTCGAGTCGCCACGCGTGCCCGTCCGTTGTTGCACATCGACGTCAACCGCTTTCAGTGTTATAGCGCGTTCCTCCGCGCTCTATCTACATAACCTAAAACCTTACAATCTAAATAAAATTTTATATTTTGCATTTTATAATTAACATAAATACTCATGATAAAGTTGAATTTATAATATTAGTGAAGTGCCGTTGACGCCCTACCGAGGGCAATTCGTGGAGTGTATTTTTGTGCAGCACAAAGTAAATACAAACGGCAAGCTGTGGGGATCGGGGGCCTTTTTTTTGCCGCCGCAGGGGATGTACTATCCTGTGAGTATAAATACATCGTTATGTAAACGAAAGAAAATACCGTACCTCATTTTGTTAGAAATAAGCGGCGTCATACGAACTTATCGGATTCCTCCTTCAAATTAGCACAATATTATGGCGCATGGCGTTACTAGTTTATGTACACGCTCACTGCTATTTCATTTATAACTTTATTCACATAAATTGTAATCCCTGGACGCATCCCAAACCATATTCAGTGCGCGGATGCAAGCTACCACACAAGAATTCGAGATACGATGTGAAGTTAGCTGTAGGCGCGATATTAGCATCACAATACAAAGGTTCATACCTAAATAAAACTTAAGATAACAAAATGTTGCTGAATTTATTTGTAGTGATTGCTTTTATTAGTGTTTTAGCGATTTACTTGAATTTTTAATGTAAGTTTAAAACCGTCCATACAATATTTTAACGGGTAAGATGTGAATTAGTGCTAATTTTTTATTCAAAGTTCATCTACATATTCATTGCTGTGACATTGAACCGCGTAGGATTTCATTGTCACTATTGTTGCTTATTTTTAATACAGCATGTAGGTATTTTAATTATGGAAAACATGCTATCTCAATTCCTTTTTCTATTTGTTTTCAAGAAACAAAAACGTAATTTTAACTTATGTCACTTTTATGTATTGTCTGTTTATTTTTATTCAATTCTATCAATAGGTATTTCTTACGTCGAGATTATTTTAGATTTAATTTTGCGCAATTTGTAATTGGATCGATTTGAAATATGTTATATTCAAAATTGCCAATTTTGGCATTTTTGTCATAAGACCTATCATTATATTAGCATACCCTCGCAATTACTATCATATTTATGTAGTCTCACGATATATAGCGGCTATTTTATATCAGTGCTTTTGCTAGGCTCCTAACGTATCGTACCCGTTTACAATTTTTTACATAGTAATTTCAGAGTAAGGTAATTTAACGGTAAGACCTGTTCTCGGTGTGATGGCAACCCTTTTTATTGTAATTAACAAACAGGCTCGAAAGAGGACATTTACGTATAGATTATACAGCCTTTTTTCCGTGAATTCATCTTGCAAAAAGCCGACGCGATCCGAAAAGTTGTTAAACTTTATCCACAATTGCAGAGCTATAAACTTTGTCAAAGGCAACGCATCTGCTACAAAGAGGTATCGTAAAGCGACAGTTAAAGGGCTCTTTCCACCCGCAAAGAGCAGTGCGGCAAGCGGATATTCACTCGGTTGTTTTGCTCAGCCTCTCTAACACTATACTCATTTTGTACCTTTTTTGAGAATGATTAATTCTTTCATAACTTCATCCAAGTTATCGAATCTTAACAGACTTACTAAGGCGTCGATCTTCATTTGATATTCTTAACATACATATTTTCGCACACATGCTAATAATTACTACGTAAACATATAACTATTATAAAAAATCGAATAATTTGATGGCATCGACACAATATGTAAACAAAGAATTACAACATAATTAAAAACATTGACACCATTAATATGTCTGGTTAGATAAAATACAAGTCGTCCGTCTTATATAAAGTTTGGTATAAATTAAGGTGCTGCTTTTGTGCAATTGAGAGGTAGGTAATTGGTCGGTTTAACGTCGAGCAGGGTTTATTAAAGAAAGCCGGTGTGGATCCAAGGTGAACATGCCACTCGAAGGATGTTATATGAACAAATTATTGGCATACCGCCCTTTGTTCACGTTTCGAGTTCACGGACGTTTTACTTCAGCAGGGTCGGCTACCTGCGACCAAACATTCAATGTTATATACTGTCAGGTAGCAAGTTATCGATGCCCTTGTGTTCTCAGTAAAGTACCAGTTGCAGGGCTCTTCAGGTTTATTTTCCGCACTTTATAAGTTTATGACGCATTGTTTTGACTATAAAGTTATAGCAGAAATACGTCTCTGTGGATAGGGCATTTAAAGACTATTATGATTTAATTTATCCACTCTTCATATTCTTACTGCCAAAAACATCACCTTGCAATGAATCTCCCTCTCTGAGATTACACTCCATACTTTTATGCAAATGTTTAGGCGTGTGAAAACACGGCAAGGGAAAGTTCTAATATGTCGCCCTCTAGGTACCACAGATACCATAAGTTGCAGATCGCAGCGGGAGTTACGTATACGAATTTATACCACGTGCTCGTGCGATGCGATGAGGGGGTCTTGGATTTATAATTATACTAGCTGTCGCCCGCGACTCCATCCGCGCGGGATTAGAAATAGATGTTGGCCGATTCTCAGACATACTCAATATGCTCACAAAATTTCATGAGAATCGGTCAAGCCGTTTCGGAGGAGTATGGGAACGAAAATTGTGTCACGAGAATTTTATATATTAGATAAGTATTTTATGTATTAAACCAACTTATTTATAAGTGATATTTGATTTTTTTAGTATAACATTTAGCCAAAGTATGTCTAAATTTAAGAAGTAGCATTGATATAGTTACATCGGAAATTAATATGAATAAAAGTACACTAATTAATTAACAAATACAATTATCTTCTAGGTACTGTTTGTATAGACCGGGCAAAATAAATGAAATAATTATACTCGTATAACAAACAACATTCACTGATTATGAGTGAATGACGTCGCGCACAACATAGTCTTCAATTACAACGATGAACAGACGCACTGCACATCTACATATGTGTATACATACTAACTCTGCACCTATACCCAACGGACCGGTGAACGAGTTATTTATGAATAACGCAACCATAAGCTTCGGACCGGACTACTATTTTATTTAACTACTAAACCAGTCTGTGCATACTGTACCTATCCTAAGCAATGTGTTATTGATTTTTGTGCTAAATTTTAAATAAATGTGACTGAAAAATGGGCCATTGTATACAGCAATGTGATCCTATAATTCAAATTACAGTAGCAATTTAGGCCACACAAAATATTGTAAATGGTCAAGCAGTGTCGTCTTGTAATGTTGTGTTTAGATGAATCTTATATTAAGTTTTGGCGCCCATCTCCCAAGACTAAGTTTTAAAGCAATTAGAAATATTTGTGATTGAGTCGTTCTCGCTGTTCCGAGTTATCCTAAAAGCCTTCAGGTTTCTGTCATAATTAGTTTTTCGGATCCCGACTGTTTTTAATGGCCGCTTCCATTGTTGTACACTCTCCTAGAAAGTTTCAAATTAATTTAATGCTCGTAACGCAGTCGCCTTCGCTGGTTTGTTAATTACTTACTTATTTCCTTACAAGTTTAGTTGGATAATAACAAAGTAGCTAACCTATCTCACAGATAAATAATGGAATTTATTATTTATCTCGTGTTGAATGCTGATTAGATTTTGTGGGTCCATTGTGTTCCATAATCGATCTAATATGTCTACAGCACACAATGTGAAGGATAAATGCTGCGCCTGATTCAATTAATTTACGTTAGGTCCTGTATAACCGCTTGCAAAGGGAACGCCGAGTCAGTGCCGCCGCGGTTAAAGGTCGCGGGTGGAACTCATTATGTTCCTAAATTAATATTAAATTTGCCTAATAATTAAGTTAACATTATGGGCCATACATAAATTTTCCGTGTTACAAATTTTCTCTCTTTTTCTTTTATACTTATGCTAGACATAGTTTGGTCTTTTTCTTCCATTATTCTGTTCCACCAGCGTTTCGAAACTAATCTCTTGATCAGCATTCTATCGCTGAATACTCTTCAATAGCTTATAACACTTTTAATGAAGTTGTTTTTATTTTAAAATAATTTATAAAGGTATTAAGATAGTTATGTCTTTGTATTTACGCGGAGCGACGTTACCGCAAGAGGGCGCGGTGCGCGCTGAGACGGCCATGGGCCAACCGCATCAGGATCCGGTTGTGGGCGAGCTTTTCATTTTTGAGACTTATTAACTTCGCTATTTCACTCGACGAGTTTACCAAACCGCGCCGCGCCGCACCGTTGTTTTCATGACACAAAGTTACGCCAAACTATTTGCTTGTTTTAATTATGCCATCAGCTTAAACTGTGTTCACGAACATTTGGTAGGTAGGCTTACGATAAAGGCCCATACCTATGTGATACTAATAAGTCTAATGTTAATTTCTACAAATATTTAATGGAGTATATAATTTTTGTGATTCTAATGAATGTCATTTAAAGGTTTTACGTGTATTTTTGTTAATATATCTTGTACATTTCCAACAGGAAATGTTGTTTGAGAATCCTTTTTCGTGTTAATGACAGTTTATTTTTACATTATTACACTCGGCTTTAGCTGTCTGATTACTTTTATTTTACATTTAATGTTACTCATTATATTTATTTAAAATGTTCTTAAACTACATTTCATTGTCGACCGCGACTCCGTCTTCATATAGCTTCAAACAAACAAACATACATCCATCCATCTAAACTGTCGCGTTTATAATATTACTATAATAAGAAGTTAGATTTTTATCGTTAAATTTTAAGTTGTTATCGGCGTAGAAAAGTATTCAGAAGAGCAACACAAGCGTACGAATATGCTTTCCAGAATTCACAAAGCAAATAACTTCGTAACTAATTAGCACGTATTCACTTTTCGGAAAGTGAAAGTTTTGCAATATAGGATTTATCTTCTTCGTATTTAATTTTTTATTTTTAGAGAGTGCAGGTTTCATACGTTGACTTCTTACTTACAATCTAATGATCCAGGGTTCCAGTTTTTCAATGCTGTCTGATTCTATTTTGTTTTCCATGACATTAATATAATCTAAGACTACAGATCTTATTCCATCCTTTTTGGTATAATTTTTTGGTTTCCTCAAAACTCAAAGCATGGTTGGTAATGAAAAATACTTGTATGTGATAGGATCTAAACTCGTAATACAAGTTCAAACCATCAACATAAAAGTGTGTATAATTATCTGATCGTAATGTACGCGTCGTGTTGTGTCTGGTTGTACATCGTACCATGTGTCATTGCATAGCATCCGATTTAATACTTGCGTAAGGTATTCTAGGTTGCGATAA